AGGACCTTTATTCGCAGCTTTATTCCCAAAAAGAGGACCTTTATTCGTAGCTTTATACCCGAATAGAGGACCTATATTTGTAGCTTTATTACCGAAAATAGGACGACCAAAATTGTATTGGAATATTTTACATAACTTTATATAATAGTAAGTGTGTAAGTTCCACTACTGTATATAGTCCTGCTCCCCACGACCAAAATTGTATTGGAATATTTTACATAACTTTATATAATAGTAAGTGTGTAAGTTCCACTACTGTATATAGTCCTGCTCCCCACGAACAAAATTGTATTGGAATATTTTACATAACTTTATATAATAGTAAGTGTGTAAGTTCCACTACTGTATATAGTCCTGTAGATGACCCATTGTGTAGCTTTGTGCTTAATTACAAACAAACAAGTGTAAAGAACGTTATTCCTTTAATTCTTCAAAGGGTTTTATGTATTAGTATACTGAAGAAAGCTAATCATGTTTTAAGAATTTTAATAAAAGGCCTAACGCCGTTACAGATTTTTTTATCACAGTGTCTCAGTTATTATTTGTTTAATAATATATTTAATGGTTGAAAGTAATTATTCTAGAATAAATAAAAGTTAAAATACGTGGTTAATGTTTTTTGAGCTCACTCAGTGTCTTGCTATATTCTATCACACATTTATAGTTTTTGTTTAGCCTGTGGTGCTCTCTTGTGTCCAAAGTTATAACTTTTATGACATTTGGAAATACCGAGTGTCATATTTCTAGATTACCTTTTTGTTTTGGTGTTAAGGACAAAGCAACATAGTGGATTGTCTGTGCTGTTCCCACAATAGGTATCGAAACCAGATTTTAAGCGTTATAAACCTTCAGAACTTGTCGTGAAGCCATTGGAAGCATCTAGATTACTAAATGGTTCAGCTAAAATCAATGTCCCCCTCAGTGTCTCAGCAGCAAGTCTCCAGACTTAAAACACTAAAAATCGGGTTTCGATACCAGTGGTGGCTAGAGCAGAAATAGCCCATTGTGGAGCTTTATGTTTAATGACAACCAAGCAAACACAAAGCTTAAGTAAATTAATTTGTAATATTAAAAAACTGTCATTAAATTACAAGCTGTTTATTTGCTGTAAACTAATGATTCATTGTTTTTCATATTTTTCAAAGCCACTGTTTGCCTCGGAGGGTAATTTGCATTAATCGTCCTTAGTTTTAGAGGTTATAAACTAAAGGAAAGTCAGCTAATCAACATTATCAGTCGCCAACTCGTGAGCTTCTTTTATCGAAGAGTCGAACTTGACCGTCACTCTTATAGCGCACCCAAAGTGGCTAGTTCCTTTTATTTTATTTTTTGCAGCTGTGATGTTGCACCAACCACAGATCCACAGTCCGGGTCGCCAACCACAGAGCTACACTTGACATTTTATTAACAAGCTAATACACAATCAAAACAAAATTAATATTAACCCCAACAAGAAAAAATCTTGAAACTGTATTAATCGCTCCCCCACCCCCCGGTTCAACAGTAAATCTCAGAGCTTATAATGCTAAAACTCCCATTTCGATATAGATTGTCCATTATGTAGCGTTGTTCTCGAGAACAAACGATCAGTCAGTTAAAGTCAATGAATCGACTTATTAATATGTGATTTTTTTTCTTCGTGATAAGTTTATATTAATATAACTGTTCATCGATGAGTCAGCGGTAAGTTTGCGGAGACTTACGACGCTATAATCCGGGGTTAGATACCTTACTATGGAAAGCGTGCAGCTAGCTTAGTGTGTAACTTTCCGAAGAACAAAAACAAACATCAAAAATTCATTTTTATGGTTTAAACATTTTAGTTGTATTAATTATCAAATTTGTGAACGTTTTTTTTTATGTAAAGAGTCACTGTTTTCGAGGATTCTGTAACCTTGAAATAATGGCTTGAATGCATGGATTCTCATTTAAGTAAATATATAACAAATGATAAATAACTATAATAAAAATCGACATATAAATACGGATTGCTGAGAAAAAACGTTCAAACACCGTAGCCTATAAACACAATTTGTTATCCACAGCTTACAGTTCAATATTTTGTT